CACATGAGAGATATAATGGTAAAATTTTAAAGTCGGATATAATATAATTCTGCAACTAAGGACCCTAAAACTAGTTCTTCAAAAAGAACTATCTAACCCAAATAAAGTATCCTATTGTTTGCCTACCATTTTTTTGGGATAAATTTTTAAGAAAATGTTTGTAATTATAATAGTTTGTAATTTATGATAGTTTATAATATAAACAAAAATGTTCAACTATTTTACCTAAAGAGTAATCTGCTCAAATGGTCCTTTACATTTGGCAGAAAATTTAATTTGGTCCTTTATATTAAAAATTCATTCATTTGGTCCATTATATTTGTCTTTTTAACTAATTTGGTCTTTTTTATTTTTTTTGACCCTTTACGTTTAAGGGTTCTTGGGCTCTTGGTCAAATTAACATGGGCATTTTTGGTAATTTATAAATATCATATTTGCAAAATATGTTAAAACCCAAAAATATATTAAAATAATACTAAACATATTATATTAATTTATAATTTATTATTAAAAAAATTAAAAAAATTCAAAATTCAAATATAATATTATTAAAAAAATTAAAAAATTGAAAAATAAAAAAAATCAAAATCTGATTTATTTTTTACCCGTAGTCCCCAATCGAAACATTATTTTTCTCAATTTTTATCCACCACCGGACCACCTTCGCCACCGCTAACCGCCGCCAGACTGCCCACCGGAATTTGGCATGAATCCGGCAGGCCGGCTGTCGGCCGGTGGCGGACCGGCGGCGGCGGCGGAGGTGGTCTGGTGGAGGTGGATAAATATTAAGAAAAGAAATTAATTTATAATACTAAACACATTATATTTATTTAAAACTTATTATTAAATAAGAAAGAATTTTAAAAATTCAAAATTAAAATATAATATTTTTAAAAAATTTTAAAAATAAAAAACTCCAAAATTTGATTTTTTTTTTACCCGTCGGCCCCAATCAAAATTTTTTACCCTTGAATTATTCTGTTTTTATCATATGGGACCCATATTTAATTTTTTTTCTTTACCCTTATTCATTTTTTTCCGTGAGTTATTTTGGTGTAACCAAAAAAAATACTAATTAAGGGTAAAGAAAAACATTAGATGTTGGTCCCACATAATAAAAATAGAGGGCTTATATGGACAATGGTTTATTTAAGTTTTCTGTTTAGTTTTTTGTTTGAATTTGAGATGTGATTTATCATGTGGGGCCCACATCTAAATTTTTTATTTACCCTTATTCAATATTTTTTTCGTTATACAAAACTAACTTACAAAAAAAATACTGAATAAGGGTAAAGAAAAAAGTTTTATATGGTCCTCACATGACAAAAACAGAATAATTCAAGGGTAAAAAATTTTGATTGGGGCCGACAGGTATAAAAAAAATCAGATTTTGGATTTTTTAATTTTTTTTAATTTTTTAATTTTTTAATAATATTATATTTGAATTTTGAATTTTTAGATTTTTAGATTTTTTTCTTATTTTATAATAAATTATAAATTAATATAATATCTTTAGTATTATTTATAGAGTGAACCTTAAAACAAGTCATCAACCTTTAATATATTTCCACTTTAGGTGATCAATTAAATTTATTTGTAATACAGGTTACCTTACTAAAGTTTTAATCCATTCCTGATTATTCTGTTAATTTTGGCCGTTAAATAGTGACAGAAATCTATTTTTCACATTTTTTTGGTTCATGTTTATTTTTGTCATTTTCTTATTTTTGTTATTGTTTAATCTTTTATTTATTTTTATTTTTTTTACAATTCTTCTTCTTATATTTCCTAACTTGTATATACTGGTAGTATAATTCTAAATTTTAAAAATTTATTTTTCTTTTGTATTTTAACTTCTAGATTATAAAATATTTTTAAAAAAATTTAAGAAATGAAGAAGAAAAATTCGAGTTAAAGTAAACATGAAAATTAATAATTTACCATTTTAAACAAAAAGAAAAATTAAAATAATTAGCTAAGAAAAGTTGTTTCTTCTAAGTTATTTAATTTTTTTCAACTCGATTGACTTATTTAATTATTAATTTTTACGTTTCTTATTCCTTTTTTTTAATAATCTACAAGTTAATATACAAATGAAAAATTAATTTTCAAAAATGAATTTGTTTGTTATTTGTATCTTAACTTCTAGATTATAAAAAAAAGGAATAAGAAACGTGAAAATTAATAATTAAATAATTCAATCGAGTTGAAAAAAATTAAATAACCTAGAAGAAACAACTTGTTTTAGCTAATTCTTTTAGTTTTTCTTTTTGTTTAAAATGGTAAATTATTAATTTTCATATTTACTTTAACTCGAATTTTTCTTCTTCATTTCTTAAATTTTTTTAAAAAAATTTTATAATCTAGAAGTTAAAATACAAAAGGAAAATAAATTTTTAAAATTTAGAATTATACTACTAGTGTATACAAGTTAGGAACTACAAGAAGAAGAATTTTTTTAAAAAAAAAAATTAAAAGATTAAAAAATAAAAAAATAAGAAATGACAGAAATACCCGTGAACCCAAAAATATGTGAAAAATAGATTTCCGTCACTATTTAACGGTCAAAATTAACAGAATAATCTGAAATGGATTAAAACTTTAGTAAGGTAACCTGTGTTACAAATAAATTTAATTGATGACCTAGAGTGGAAATATATTAAAGGTTGATGACTTGTTTTGAGGTTCACTCTTATTTATAAGTTACTGAAAATGCCCCTATTGAGTTGACAAAGAATTGGTCAGCCTGAGAACCCATAAATGTAAAGGACCAAAAAAAATAAAAAGGACCAAATTAGTTGAAAAGACAAATGTAATGGACCAAATGAGTGAGTTTTTAATGTAAATGGCCAAATTAAGTTTTCTGCCAAATGTAAAGGACCATTTGAACAGATTACTTTTACCTAAATTATAATAATTTGTAATTTCGAAACCCTCACGAGTACAAAGTTTGCAATACTTGAAGGAAAGATTAGGGCTGCTAATCTGATCGGTTCGACTCGGTTCGGGTGAATTCGGTTTGGGTAATTCGATTTTTTCATTTTTTTTATCCTGCCCGAAATCAAACCGATATTTCAAATTCCCCAAACCGAACCGACCGATTAAACAGTCAAGGATCAGGTCGGGGGCCGATTAAACCGAAAAAAAAAAACGAAGGTCAAATAGGCCATATTTGATAGAATTTCATAATTGAATGTTTTGAATCCATCCTTAAACATAAACCTCCGGCCAACAAACCCAACTGAAAACTTGACAAAATAATCCAAACAAACCTAGACACACCCTTGCACACAGTCTCTTCGAAATCCACGGATCCAAATTTTTTCTTTTTTCTTTTTTCTTCCTTTCTTTCTTTCTTCAAAGCAACAATACCGACGCCAATTTTGCCCTTCCTCAATTCCCTATGAAGAGCGACGAAGCAACAAAGGGGTGCCAAATTGAAGGGAAAGGAATGCTAACTAACCTTTATATATAAATATTTTCTGGCATAAGAGTTTCACGAATAACGACGAAACAAAAATAGATAAAGGGATAAAAAATTCAAACGTTTTCCCTTTCGATTCCATAGATCCAAATCCTTCCCTTTTTCTATCTTCTTCCTTTATTTCTTTCTTCAAAGCAGCAATACGTTGTTACATCAAAGAAGAACGACGAAGCACTTAGGGATAAAGGGTAACTTTTCCCCTTCGGATTTTGATTTGGAGAAAAATTGACTAGATTTGGAAAGGGCAGGTCGGATTGGTGCTGGAATCAGTGGATTGTGGATGTGAGATAGTGGAATTGATGGATTGTGGATGTGGAATGGTGGAATCGGTGGATTGTGGAGGTGGGAGGTGGAGCTGTGAGTGGAGAGCGGCGGCGAACGGTGGGAGATGGGGCTGGGAAGAAAAAAGATAATCGGGAATTCTGGAACTCTGGATTAAATTTTGGATTAAAATGACTATATATATTATATAAATAAAACTAAATAAAAAATAAATAATTAATCGGGTTAATCGGGTATCCCCGAAAAATAATTATGAAAACCGACCTTGAACCGCATAATCTAATCGGTTAATCTGTGGTGCCGAAATTTCTCCGATTAAGCCGATTAGCCGACCCGTTTTGACCGATTAATGAGCAGCTCTAGGAAAAATGAGAATGGAAGTACTATTACGGTCAAAGTATAATTTCCAAAAATAAGAATGAAAGATTTAGGGTCGATTCATAATAATTCAAAAGTTTTTCAAAACAGGGGCATTGACCGTGAGCGGGGTCAAGTTTTGACCCAAACAGTTTGTCCTGCGAGTTTGACATATTTTGACCGATTTTTTAACTCCAGGTATCAGGTAAAAAACTGGCCACCGGTTCAGGGCCGAACCACTTCAACATCTGTGCTTCAAACAGGCGAAAACATGTGTTTAAAAACTGAAAATGGGTCTAAAGGTCTAAAAATTCAAAACTTTTCGATATGAGATTTCAATTAATGGTGCCTTGCGGACTTTTTACATGTTAGTAACTCAGTATAACAAAAAACAAAGATGAACTAAGTCAAGTATTCTAAGAGTATGTTACAATTTGATCCTCCTATCTTCTCTCTAAAGTGTTTTTTTTCTTCCCTTGTATTAGGAAAGTGAAGATCATTAGGACCTTTTCCACTTTTTAGGTCCTTAATGAATTTGCTTTTAGGTCACAAAACTCTCTATGTACAATTCCGCTTTCCCTTGTTGGTTTTTTTCCTTTTTTTTTTTTTTTTTTTGTACACGGCCAAAACTTCGGTTTTGTGGTGGGCAAGTTCTTGACCCTTTTCTCCTCATTCAGATATCTTTCCTTTTGTGTTTTTTGTGGGCAACTTGATGATAATAATGATCTTTTACACCTCTTCATTGCTTCAATCAAAAAACAGGGGAGATATTTCCTGCCGAGTGAACAGAGACCTGGTTTTTTGGTTCTCCTCTGCTGTTTTCTGCACTTGGCCACTTGTGGGGGTGGAAATTCGCTGAAATACATGAAACCATTCTCTAGTATTTCCGAAACAGCCTAATGGGTAAACCATTTTGGGGAAGTGCAAAAGGACCATATTGAATTCCATTCTGTGGACCCATCATAGACCACCTGCATCATCATGGAGGAGACAGATTAATATAAAGGGAAGAAGCATTTAGATATTTCTATTTTTAGAAAATGAAAAACAAAAAAATTTCAACCAACCCAGATGGAAAAAAGGGAAAAAAAGGTGTTTCCAGTACTGGTGGTAAATGGTAAATGCAAAACTTTTTTAGAAAATATAACACACCTGTATTTTGTGGTCAGATGATGAATCAGGACCAACATCTCCAGTTTGGCTAGCTCATTCCCAGGACATGAGTGGGTTCCATTTCCAAATGGCATGAAAGTATTGGGTTTTGGATTAGCCTGTCAAGATCAAAGATAAATCTTGAGCCTCATATTCATTTCATGAGAATCAGAAACAGTTGTGAATTGAATATTTTAAGAAAATTGACTTCTTTTTTTATCTTAAAAAAATATTTACCTCAAATCTTGAAGGGTTAAACTTCTCAGGATCTGGGAAATTATCCGGGCTATGGTGAATGTTTCTGAAGAGCGGCATTACTTTCCACCCTTTTGGTATGAGGTAACCTTCGAATTCAACATCTTCAACAGCTTCTCTGAAGGTGAATGAGAGGATTGAAGCAACTCTAAGTGTTTCTTGAATCACTTTTGTTGTCATTGGCATCTTTTTGGTGTCAGCCCAAGTCAAAGCCTCATAATCTTGTTTAGTCTTCAATATAGCTTCTTGTTCTTCCTGAAAAAATCACATCATGAATAAAAAAACCCAATTATTGTTGCGTCCGAAAATTGACACTTTTGTTAGCAAAAAATTTTAAGTGACACTTTTGTTAGCATATTTGGCACAAAAATTTTAAGGCAAAACTTACTGTGACAGCTTGTAGGACACTGGGGTTCTCTCCAAGGTACTTGAGGATCCATGTAAGAACACTAGCTGTGGTGTCTCTGGCTGCAAAGATGACACCAATAACGTTGTCTGCAATTTGTTCATCAGTTAGGCCTTCTTTATCTCCCATGAATGATCCCAACAAATCATTGTAATTGTGCTTCATTTCCCTCCTCACAGAGATAATTTTGGCTAAGATCTGAGCTAATTCTTTCCTGGCTTTCATGGATTTGTGGAAAAGTGTTCCAGGAAGGTTAATTGGCATGGAATTGTATCCCTTCTCGAGAATGTAGTAGCACCTCTTAAGATCTTCTCTGTAGTGAATCTCATCCTTTCCCAATATGGAAAGTAATGCAACATTGAAAGTGTACTGCACACAAAGTCAAAATCCAAAAACAATTTTAGTAACCAAACAAAACGGAGCAAAAGAAAAAAAAAAACAGAGTGCCAAAAAAACAGAGTATTCCTCCTCCTCTGTAATACTTACAGTTTTCATTTCTTGAAAACTGTTGATCATTCTTCCTTCCCATGATTCGAGTGACTCAACAGCAACCGATTCGATGTCGGAAACGATGTGCTTGATGGCTTCTGGAGTGAAAGCTCGGAGGACTAATTTCCTCAACTTGGAATGATAGTCTCCCTGGTGAAAGAAAATGGCTTGTTTCCCCAACATCCTTTCTTTGCTAGCTGGGAATGTCGGCTTAAAGAGATGAGCTTTGGTCACAAGAACAAGCTTTGCTGCTTCTGGGCTTGCAATCATCACACAAGGACATCCCAGAATATGAGTCTTGAATATCGAACCAAATCTGTTCCAAAACACAGAAAAATCAGCACCCCATTTAATTTTTTTCTTGGCATAAAAAAAAAAAAGAAAATTCCCAGTTAAGAAAGCAGAGGAAATCCCCCAAAACTTACTTCTTTACTTTGGAAGCAAAGAAAACATTAGGATTCTGAGAGTAAAGCTGAAAGGTCTCTCCAATATAAGGCCAACCCAAAGTCCCCGGAGGGAGTGGCAACTTTCCACGGCCAAAGGCAACGAATTTACGGATGGCCGGACGGATGAGAACAAGGATGAAAAGAGAAACAAAGAACAGAAACAACATGGATAGGAACTCCATTTTTTCTGCTTATAAGAACTAAGTTCCAAGTGTACTTATATAGGTGATGGGTCGTTGTGGGTTCTTCTTTAAAAGAGTTTGTGGATTGTTGGTGGGGAAAAATGGAGTGAATTGAAGGGGTTTATATATAGGTTGAAGAGGGGGCAAAAAAAGAAGGGGGCTTTCAAGTCCAGCTTGAATCCACACGGAATCTCCGTCCAGCTCATTTCTTTTCAGTCTAAATGAAGAGAGAGAATGATGGAAAACGAGTTGCCAAAAATATATATTGATAAAAGTATTTTTCTGTTTTCTTTTGATTTTCTTCCTGCTTTGTGTTTGTGTTATCTAGTCTAGTCTAGTGTGTGTGTGTGTGACTGAAGTAGACTGAAAGAGGGCCAGAAGGAGAGGAAATTAGCCTTTGGGGCTCATTGGGAGGTCCAGAGTTTCATTTTCAATATTCTGTGTCTTTGTGTTGGGGGAGATGTCATCCAAAGTTAGTGGTACTACTACTTACTTTATGGTTTTATTGTTGGTTGTAAAGGTGCATTTTGGAGCTGAAAAGGTAAAGGACAATATATATGTACCTAGTCATGTATTCAGCGTACGAGTTAGTATCACACAGGTGAAAAAAAGTCATTTCGATTCTTGCAAACACTCTGTAAAAGAAGATAAATCTAAGGGTTGGTAGTTATTACAACAAGGTTGGATATTTTAAATCTAGTTGTAATAATAATTTTTATTACTGGGTGATTAATGTGATTGGTAAGATTGGAAGTTTTTATTACCACGAAGTTGAAAATTCCAAATTCTCTCCGGAACATTTTACTACTGTAATATCTCGTACCAGTTGAATATGCTTAAATTTTTTTTCACTAGATGTTGTATCATCTCCTTCAGGAGTTACATCTAAGTCGTTTCACTAGATTTCTTTCTTCTTCTTCTTCTCCTTTTTTTTTTTTTACAATCATTTAACTAGATTTCAACTATGGTACAATACCATTAACATTCTTTTCCCCTTTCGATCCCGCTAGTTGATGTTTGACTCTGGGAACTCATAGCTACAACCTGTTACTTTTATTTTATATTCTTCTTATCTCCAAATATTTATCTAATTTGTATTTTTTTTATTTCAGTATAATTGTATTAATAGTAAATTAAGATTGAAAAATGGTTTTCAGACAGAGAGCGTTATAATTCAAATTATTGGAACCACTATTATTCGTATAAACTGAAGCTTTTCCGTTATCTTGACGTGAATTAGAAGATTTGTGCAATATCTTTTCAATTAGTTGTTTCTAACTATATAAAATCAGTATTTCAAGTTAATTAAGATGCCACAGTTTGTTTTTTTTTTTCTTACTATATATTTCTCTTTTTTTTCCCTCAAAAAAAAAATAGAGACTCCCCATATAGGGGTAGGCCACGTGTCACTAGGAATAAAATAGTCAAAAGAAAGTGGGTGTGGGCGAAGAGGGAGGAGGAGAGGGAAAGGAGTTGTTTGGTTGACTAAAAGCATTGTTTAGTAATTATCAGAGAGAATAGAGCTGCTGGGAAACTGCCTTTTGGCAAAAACGATTAGATTTTGATTAATTAAAAAAAGGGCAGATTAAAAACTGAGGACAACTGCATTAAGAGTCAGAGAATGGGATGGATGGATGAATTGAATTGAATTATTTGCTGTCCGTACCAAAACCACCTTACTGTAAACCGCATTTATTTCCTCCTCTCCCCCAACTTGTTTTTCCTGTTTTAGTGGGGCACTCAACTTTATGTATTCATTGTGGGATTTTTGTATATATTGTAAACAAACAACAACTTGGGGCTTATAATGCCTTTTCCTAAAAACAAAAAAATAAAATCCTATTCATTATTCAAATCCTAGTTCTAGGATAGCAGGATCTAGCCACGAGGGGGAGAGTAGTACTACTAGTAGCATCGAATAATTAATTTATAGATTCCGATGTTCCAAAATGAAAGTTTAAATTGCTAACATTAATTTGTGTTTTTGTCATTGTTTTGCTACCATACACTTAGCAGATATATATAGCTGTAAACTGCTTGTGACTAAAAATATGTAAACACAAAAATATGTGTTCATTTTTTTTCAATATGATTGACTTGTTTGTTGACTGATACAATAGAGTTGAATTTCTAAATATTTAATTATACTTCTATTTTGAAATGACCGAGATTGTGAGAATAATCATTCGATTATACTTCATGATATTACAAAAATAGCTTGTATTTATGAAATTTTTAAATAATAGAGACCTAAAGACGTGTGAGGGGAACAGATGTAGGGTACTTATGTTTTAATAATTTTGATTGAGGAGTGTTTTGTGCATATGTTTGAAAACTGAAAAAGTTAATATTAGGACTTATCGATAAAACAAACAACAACTTGGCTTTTCTTTATCTTCTTTTCTTTCTTTGGCCTTTTAGTTATAGTATCAACTATCAAGTTGGCAAAAGTATGGGGTTAATTGAACTTTGACGTACTGTTTCCATCGATGGTGATTTGATATATCTGGACCTCAGAGGAAGTATCCACACACTGAGATTCACTCGTTATTGCGTTTTTTTTTTTTGTATTTTATTATATCTGTCTCGTCATGTAATCCATCCACTTAAATAAAATAAATAGTTGATACTCCTTCCTATTTTTATTATAAAATATTTGATTGAACTTACATTTCATTTATTTAGTATGTTTTTCTAATTAAAAATAAAATCTTAAATTTAAATTTTTATCTTTGATTGAAAAAACATACATTTTTAGTCCCGAAATTATTGTATTGTATAGTTAGGATTTTCATTTTTAGTATAAATTGAAGTAAAAGTGAAAACTCAAATTAAATAACAATTTTATTATAAATTAAAATAAAACTTAAAACAAATTAAAATATCTTAAAATAAGGACCAGAGGTAGTATTTTGTAAATGGTATTGATGTTTGTCGATTTGGTTTGCAAACCGTTGCACATAATTTATCTAATTATCTGTGTTGGGGGAGAAGTTATAATTTTGTCAAAAGTGAACAATATGTTTTTTTCTTTTTTGCGCTAATGTTGTATTTTCCTTTCTCAAAATTATTGTCTTGTTTAGATTTTTATTTTTAAAACAATGTTAATTCAAATTAGATAATTATTTTGGATTCGGACAAAAGGAGTTATAATTTTGTGCTCACTTTTACTCTGTGTATGTAAATGATACATAACTAATATGCTTTTCCTTAACCCAATTTCAACCTCAACTAATCGAACTTAGAAATTGATTTAATTTTTATCAAATGACGATGATTTTGCACATATTTCATGGACTTTGCATTTCTCAACTACTACTTAACTATTTAGAATGCATATATTATGTGTTTGCTTTTTTAATTTATTTTTCTGTAAAAAAGATGTAAATGGCATGAACTAACTACACATCCTTCTTAACAATAAAATGCCTGTAAAATTACAGAAAACTTATTTTTCAAAAAAATCTAGTAATAATAATTATGATAAATGTACATACCAATAAAAACGCAGGTCCTGCATGAGTCCACGCATGGCATTTTCATTCGGAGAATAAAAATGCATGCGATACCCAAACGCTCTGACCTATTCTTCTTCATTATCGACCGACATCTTTTTTTCTCTTCTTGAATATAATTCGAAACGCCAATGCAATATAGTAATTGATTTACGTGAAAATCATTTGTATTTTTCTGTGGAAAAGATTGTGACAAATTATTACGAAAATTAAATGTTAATGTCGCGTTCTTTGTATTGTCTATGGTCTCTAATCAAGTCATTGTATGAAAGGACGTGTAGGATCTAACCCTATAGACTGGTTCCAAAAAATTTTCGAGAATTTTATTTTCTCTAATTTAAAATAGTCAACCCAAATTATTTATTTATTTATTTATTTATTTATTTTTTGAAGAAACAACTTTCATTAAACTTGCTGGAATTCAACCAGACCTGATTAATACATAAAGCTTGGAATCGAAGTCCTAGTCTTAACATCCCAAGATTGAGATTTGGAGTGACTAACAATGACATGGGCTAAACCAGTTTCCAATCGGGGAATCCAGAACAAATTTGAAAATTTCAAATCCGCTAACAAAACCCTAATCTCCAAATTGTTTATAATAGGTGAGTAATATTTTAACAACAGAATGTTTCAACGAGTTTCTTCGTATAAACTTACATTTCGTCACAATTAATCAAGAAAACAATTTTGTCACTTATTTTTGCGGATTCTAACTTGATTTAAATTTGAAACAGAATGTACTTGAAGTATTCGTTCTGGAGATCAGGTCAACTTTTGAAACATATATACTTACTGGAAGAGGACAGGTAGAACACGCGTTGACTAGTCTTATCAAATTATTTTTCAATATTTTCTCTTAATACATAAAAATAAATTGTCAACCCATAATATATCAAATCTTTTGACTTTTTCTCCTCAGTTTTGAGATATCTTAGCCATTGACTTTACTCATTCTAGCTAGGAATCGTTTTTCTTTTCTTCCATTTCAGAAAGTCAGAATGAATTTCGACGTCTATAGTTTTTATTTTTATTTTTTTGTTTTCTTTTTAAATGAAGTATTCGTATATAATCACGTGCCTAAAGTGGTAAATTGAAAGAAATAATTTGTCATTAAGAGTACCATACCTAATGGCTGGGGCTGTACTAGCTAGTCGAATAGTGATTAACCTAAGTGTAAATATATACACATTTAGGAACCTTTTATGGGTTCATGGACTCGAAAAGAATGTGAAAAAATCCCAGTAGTTTCAAGCTAGATAATTAAGAGTAAAATATCTAAAAAAAAATTAAAAAAATTAGTATAGTAAAGAAGAAAATGAAACAAATTGAATTGTCGCAGAAATATCCAAAAAAAAAAAAATGAAATATATAAATTAGTTCAGTTTAATGGAAACCCAAAAGCAATATGATAAATTAGCGGAAGATTAAAAAAAAAATTGCTCATTTATAGGGTGCAGTTGCCGTCTGCTAGCTTCCACTTAT